GATTGGGAGGAGAAAGAGAGAGAGAGAGAGAGAGAGAGAGAGAGAGAGAAATCACGTGTAAATAATTTTGTTTTGACAAATTTATTCACAGAAAAACATTCTGAATAGTAATGAGTAGTGTTTTAATTAAAACAAAATATTTTTTTATAAGAATTTAATTAAATAATTGATTACTTATAATTTATAAGCTATATAAATGATAAAATTTTAACAATAATTTAAATAAAGATTAAATATAATGAAAATGATAAATATTTTAATTTTTTATTATCAGAGAAGTTGAATCCAAGATATTGTTTTCATTAATATCGATAATTTAATTATTGACATCAATTATTAAATAAATTAAGGTTTTACAGAATTATGTTAATTATTATATCTATCATTACTAATTAAAAAATATAGTTGACTAATAAATAAAAATTTAAATATATAGATTTCATTGAATATTTATTTTTGATTATTAAATAAACTTTAAAATGTCATAAATTATGACATCTAAATTACAAAATAATACTGTATGCAAGAAAGTATTATCTTTTTATAAATAACTAAAATGTTTTAAAATAATTTTTAAATCGATTTTTATTAATATTTAATTATTGTAATTATTTAAAAATCTATCTTTAGTTTATATTTCATTTTGAATAATTATGTAATATTTATAGTATTGCAAATATAATCTAATAAACCAGATAAAATTATACAATTTTGCCGCATATTTTTGAATAAAATTTTATTTTAAAATAAAATTCTATTAAAATTTAATGTAGAATCATATTTCCATAAACACTACGTTTATGTTAAATAATTAAAAATATAGTATTTAAAAATATTTAATCACACTCTAAAATTAATAAAAATAATTTGAAAAAAATTATATATTCTATTTTCATTCAAGTGTATATCTATTTATCTATAAAATTTATTTATACTTTCTAAATGAATAGTTTGGTAAAGTATTAAAATATGAATGTTCGTATTTGTATTTAAAGTACAAATGTTGCGTTAATTTTGTTAAAACTCAATTTTACTAAAATTAATAAAATAATAATTTATTCAAAACATAATCGCTTTTATAATCGATTTGCGGTACAAAAATGGTTGGACGATATTAAATGTACAGTACATGTGAATCAAACCAATGAATTAACACACGAGTGATAGCAGAGGAAGTAATGTCCTCTTCAGTCTCTCAACATAACTTTCTCATCGATTGCTTTTTTTGGCTCTCTCTCTCTCTCTCTCTCTCTCTCTCTCTCTCGTTAATTAGTTAGTGTTTTTAATTATTTAATGTAATTAAAACACTGTATAATCATTATTTTAATCGAAGATTTATAAATGCACATGAGAAACAATTGATTTCATATTTTAGAGAACAGTGACCATATACATATTAATTAAATAACACTAAAATGAATTGAAAGTATTATTTCCAGATTTATTAATTATAAAATATATTAAAGTCTATTTAAGAGAATTATTTTGTTTACAAAATATATCAAAATTCTTCCGAAAAAACATTACAAAAACGGAATAGTAATTAAAAATTAATAATAGTTTTCACATAACATAAAAACAATTAAAATGACAACAAATAAGTTAACAAAAACAATATTTCAATCTATTTCTTCAGGTGTTTGTGCTCTTTGTGAGCAAAATATTCGTTTCTAATAAGACTTGTTTTCATTTTCATCACAAAATGAAGTTTCTTAAGGATTTCATTCGTAACACTGGTCTCGGCCTCAAACGTCCAGTGCTTGTACTCATCGCCGTTCCATTGAAAAATTGCATTTCTATCTCAATATTTAGATATTAGTGATACACATAAGCGATGAGTTGTCTAACAAATCGATTTGTGATTTTTGACAGCCGTTTATCAAAAAATATGTTAGATTTACATAAAAAACATTTCTTTATTTATCTCTTATCTAATCATGTATTTTGTATTTTTAAATACAATTTTTTATATAAATATCAAAAGCCTTCTCTTTATTCGTGATATTATATACTGAAGAGTGATTGAAGCACTTCTATGTCATGATCTTCTCTATTGCTCTTTATTTTATATGAAATTGCATTTTCTTTACACGATTTCAATAACTCTATAAATTTTTAAATTATATTTTTCTTGTTTTACTATAAATTTTTGTTGTGTTAAAAATTATATTAATTTTTTTGCAATACCTTTCATTCACAATAATTGAATTCAAAGCTTACACTCTTGGCTTTCTATATCTGAAAATTACACATGCTATATTAAAGTTAATTTTTAACCACAATTCATTTATTAAAAAGTATCGTTATCTAAATGTTACAGAAGTACCATTCGAGAAAATAGATATTACAGAAGACATGGTCAATTAATTCAACTAAAACTCTAGTAGACTACAGATGGGTCAGTATTATTACTGGTTAAATTTGATTTTATATTTGTGAAAATAATTAAGGTCGTTCGGTAAAATAGTAACTTAGTATCCATAAAGTTTTAATAGTCCATTTCAGAACACTGTATACTACACTGTATATTTATAATGTTTTCAATTTTGTTAATGATTAAAACATTTGAATAATATATTGCTTGTGATGTTGTTGTTGCACTACAACTGATGATCATGGTGAATTTGTAATATTTTAATTAATTCATGTCTAGTAAAAACCTTCAATTTGGTTTTATTTTGAATAAAACATTTTAATAAACATGTTTATGCAGTATTAATAAATGTTTGTAAACTTAACATATACAATAGTTTTAATTTTATATACTGTAGTTTTATTTTAAAATAGATTACTGTAAATTTAATATTAAATTATTAAATAGCTCAAATTAATTTAAAATTTTAATTCCAATATTCTTTAACTTTACTACAACTTTAATATTTAAAGTTAAGATGAAATTGCATTTTACAAATGATTTGTTAACGCATTCAGTCACTCCATCTGTACTCATATACCGACCCTTATTCTCATCCTATCTTCTCTTTGGGAGCAATGCATTCAATAACTCATTGTTTTCTCTCATTTACTTAAATCTTAAATAATATATATTTTTCTTTCAATTAATTTTAATCTACTTATAAGTGTTGTGTTTTCAGAGCTATTCTTATCTCAGACTTTATTCTCAATGCTTTTAGTATTTGGATTATGTGTTCATTTAATTACATGTATTCTTAAAGTACTTTTAATACTATATTCTGATTACTTATATCATTGATTGAACCAAATCTCGTTATAATTAACACAAAAGCAATCAATTTTGTTTTGTATTGTAATATAATTATATCGAAGTCTATTAATGGAAACTAATTATAATTTCTTGTTATTTATTTGTATTTAATTGCTTATAATATTTTCATTATGTATTCGTTTTGTTGTTTTAAATTTTATATTAATTTATTTAAAATATATGACAATACTATTAATTTCGCACACATTTCTTGCACTATAATAAACACACATTTATTATATTTAACAATAACAGTGGTTTTGAGATAAAGCCAGTAAAACATTATGCATGAGAATAATTTGCAACAAAAGTCTCAACCATTTGTATGTGATTTAAGTGAAGGAATTTGAATGAATTCATGAATAGAGAGAAACATTGATTCAAAGCCCACATTAAACGAAGACAACGAAACGTCTAAACGAATTTGTCTTATCTTATAATTTAATTGAAGAATATATTATCCGTGTTTACTATCAGACATTATCGTTGACACAATCATATATCACATGAAATTTTCATCATTTCTCTCTCTCTCTCTCTCTCTCTCTCTCAATGTAATGCATAGTGCATTCAACGCTCATTGTATAGAAAATTTTATGATATACTATCAGATTATGACAAAAATGCGATACAATATAAGTACGAATGTTGTCATCAGAATATTGTCTATCCATACGATGAGTATAGGGTTAGGGGAAAGTGAGAGTGAAGTATGGGCTCAGTATTGGGGAGTGATATAGAGAGTGAGAACATACATACCATACCATACAATACATTCATACAGTTATATACTTGTATAGGGAATGGATCGGCAAAATCATTAATTCTAATTTTTATATCTACTTTGGGTTTGTTATTGTGTTTAATGTTATTTGAGTGACAGTAATGGAAAAACTGTGTAAAACTTATCAAAAGAGCTATACATCCAAAAGAGTCGTTCCAATGATCATATTCTTCGACTACGACAACAACACCACCGAAAAAATACTCTGACTTTTGCCTTAAATAATAATCATTTTTTGTGATTCTGCCATCACTTGCACACCAACACAATTACCACTACAACTACAACCACTCCATCGACTACTTTGCAACTCTCATCACTTATAGTTTTTGTGCTGATATTTCTCTTTATAATTAACTTTTTGATATAATTCTTTCTCACATTACATAACATTATCTCTGATATAAAACTAATGAATTCGCGTTTGAATGCAATGAAGCAGTGAATGAAAAATTGGAGTTCACTATAAGCACTGATACAGTATATAAATATCATATGCATTACTATATACTTTGCGTATACTATTTTAAAAGATAATTTGTTAACAATTATTGTTAATGTAATTAATTCTGTGATGTTTTTTGCCATATATTCAAAATTAAGTTTTCCTTTTAATTAATTACAACCGACTCTTACGAACACAACATTGCCTTCAATACAAAAAAAAACTTTATTTTCCATAATATTTTACTTATGTTTTTAAAGACTATTTTCATCGCAAGATCTAAATTCTAAGCTTTTCTAAGTTTTTGTAAAATCAATTGATTAAAAATATTTTACGAGAGAGAGAGAGAGAGAGAGAGAGAATTAGAAGTGAACAACACATCAGTCTATCAAAGAGTGAATTAATGAAAGAAAAAGTCGACTAATTATTAATATTGTCAATCAAATTGTGAACAGAACTTCGTTTTTGCATTTTATGCACACATTTTCCTAACCCCTGGCGAACACATCCTTACAGTCATTTTGAAATCTAATTTGTTTTAGACGTTTGACAGACTTTATTATATTAATATTTTAATAATCTTTTTCAATACTTTTTTCTTTTTTTATACTCACTATTACTTAAAACACTATTAATTATTAAATTATAAGAGATTTTTAAACTCTGTTTTTCTATATTTATTTTTCTAGATTTAAAAAGTTTTGTTGAATTCAAAGAGCGTTTATAAGGGAATAAGTGATGGCTTTCTACGACGACAAGCGATTCATTTTGTCTCATATCAGACATTCATTTATAACGTGCGACGACACGGGTATGTGTGAAATGGTTATGTTGAATGAGTCCATACGGAACAAGTACTTGGATGATGAAGACGTTCTCAAAAGTATTTATCATTTTTAAAACTGTTTTGTATGTGAATTAGTTTTGAAATTATATATTTTTTATACGTATAATAATAGGTCTGGAATTGGAGACAAAGTCAGAGCTGTCAGAAGCGGCACAATCTTATGATATAATGTCTGATATGGAGTTGATTGGCGTCAGGAGGCGTTCAAATACAGCCCAACGGCTCGAACGGCTTAAGAAGGAGAAGAAGAGTCAGGCGAAAGTGCGAACCATTCCCTGGAAGACTAATCCCAATCCACTTTCCGGTTATTAATTACACTTATTTTTGACGAACATTTTATTTCCAAGTTTTGGCAAATAATTAATTAAAATCTTTTTGCATACAATTTGGGCACAGAATCCGAAATAAACGAATTGTTTCCTAAAAAAGAGTTGTCCGTCAGTGAAAAGTCGAGCCCAACTCTGGCCGCTCCGACCCCAAAGAAGTCTGCGCTGACTTTGCAATTGGAGAGCTGTCCCGACATTCCCAACAATCCGTTCAACGAATTCGCCCGCTTTGACGGTCGTGTGAGCGAAGGCGCGCCCATTAAGCGCATCACAATCTATCTGACAATGTTATCACCGCAACAAAGGCAACACCCCATGGAAGTGGTCACTCAGATCAACGCCCGCGTCGACGACTTGATTGGATTGATTTGTTGGCAGTACACCAATGAGGGCAAAGAGCCCCGACTGAAGGCCAATGTATCGCATTATTCGCTGCGAATCGCCGAAGAGAACGGCGAAGTGGACGCAGACTTTCCCAGTTTGAACTCCAAAGAACTTGTGGCCAAATTCGGATTCCCTGTCCTCGCATTGGTCGAGAAGGACGAGCACGAGAACAACCTATTGGTCACGATGTCTGTCAATCACTCAATCAATCACTTGTTTTATTTTGTTTTTAATGTTTATTAATTATGATTTTGCAGTTTTATAGACGAAGTGTTTTCTAAAATCCAAGTGAATAGCCTTCAGATATCACTGCAAGAAGTTCTGGACCTAACGATGAGGAAGAGACGGCCATCGCTTCTAAAAGGTTTGCTTATTTTTGACAACAATTTAACGAATATTAACCAAAGTATTGAATATATTTTGTATTTAGGCATCAATTATAAGTTGGAGAAACGCAACGAACCGGGCGTTCCGTTAGACTTGAAGCAAACTCTGGCCGATTGCAATTCACTGGAGTTTGTTTTGGTTCCCGACCAACTGTTAGGTACGGCTCGACACCACACACACCATACCGTTCCCAAAAAGCGTTCGCGTCATCACAAACGCGATCGTTATTTCAAATTTATATAGTTTTCAAATTATAGTTATTTATTTATGAATATTTGGTTTATTTAGTTGTAAATTGTTTTATTTATTGATTATTTACACAGTATTTAATTATATCGATGTTATTGCTGTTAATTTACTATTTATTAATTAATAAAATTTTATTTATAAACTTTTAGTCGATTATAATGAGAGCCGAACCGCAAAGCGAATAGAGTTAGACATGTCGGCAATGGAGGCGCCGCTGTACCGGTCGTATAACGTGACGGCAATCAACAAATTGGGTCGAACTGCAGACGTGGAGATGGGTATCAGTGGTGACAAAATCGAGATCACGCCTATGCCTAACAAAGGCTTCTTTCAATGGCAACCAAAGGCCGCCACTGTTAACGATGAAGACGTTGTCCTCTGCGAACTCTTGTCACATAAATTGAGTTCAGTTTATGTTTTATTTTTATGAGAGAGAGAGAGAGAGAGAGAGATGTATTGTTGATCTGAATTAACTGTTGATTGTATGATGTATTTGCAGATACGGGTAAATCGACGTTCAAAGTTGTCTATTGGAACGGCGATGAGTACAAGCACTGGACGTTTGAGGCCGAGACCAGTGTTACGAATGAAATCCTTAAGAAACTTCATTTTGTGATGAAAATGAAAACAAGTCTTATTAGAAACGAATATTTTGCTCTCAAAGAGCACAAACACCTCAAGAAATAGATTGAAATTTTGTTAACTTATTTGTTGTCATTTTAATTGTTTTTATGTTATGTGAAAACTATTATTAATTTTTAATTAATATTCCTTTTTTGTAATGTTTTTTCGGAAGAATTTTGATATATTTTGTAAACAAAATAATTCTTTTAAATAGACTTTAATATATTTTATAATTAATAAATCTGGAAATAATACTTTCAATTCATTTTGATTTTATTTAATTTATCTGTCGAGAATAATGGTACAAAATATTGTACACGAATATTTGTTTGGTCACTATTCTTTAAAATATGTTATCAAATATTTCTCATGTGCATTTATCAATCTACTATTAAAGTAATTATTATACAATGTGTTAATTAAATTAAATAATTAAAAACATTAACTAATAATTAGTTACTAATTAGAGAGAGAGAGAGAGAGAGAGAGAGAGAGAGAGCCAAAAAAGTAATCGATTAGAAAGTTATGTTGAGAGACTGAAGAGGACATTACTTCCTCTGCTATCACTCGTGTGTTAATTCATTGGATTTATTCACATGTACTGTACATTTAATATCGTCTAACCATTATTGTACCGCAAATTGATTATAAAGCGATTATGTTTTGAATAAATTATTATTTTATTAAAATTGAGTTTTAAGAAAATTAACGTAATACAGTATTTGTACTTTACCGTATTTATACAGATACTAACATTTATATTTTACTTTACTAAACTATACATTTAGAAAATAGATAAATAGATTATATGCACTTTAAGATAAAATATATAAATTATTTTCAAATTATTTTTATTAATTTTAAAGTGTGATTTAATATCTTTAAAATTTTTATATTTTTAATTATTTAACATAAATGTAGTGTTTATGGAAATATGAGTCTACATTAAATTTTAATAGAATTTTATTTTAAAATATGCGGCAAAATTGTATAATTTTGTCTGGTTTATTAGATTTTATTTGCAATACTATAAATATTACAGAATTATTCAAAATGATATATAAACTAAATTTGATAGATTTTTAAATAATTACAATAATTAAAAACTAATAAAAATAGATTTAATAATTAAAAATAAATACTTAATAAAATCTATATATTTAAATTTTTATTTATTAGTCAACGTTGATTTTAACTATATTTTAATTTAATTAGTAATGATAGATAAAATAATTAACATAATACTGTAAAACCTTAATTTATTTAATAATTGATGTCAATAATTAAATTATCAATATTCATGAAAACAATATCTTGGATTCAACTTCTCTGATAATAAACAATTAAAATATTTACTATTTTCATTATATTTAATTTTTATTTAAATTATTATCAAAATTTTATCATTTATATAGCTTATAAATTATAAGTAATCAATTATTTAATTAAATTCTTATAAAAAAATATTTTGTTTTAATTAAAACACTACTCATTACTATTCAGAATGTTTTTCTGTGAATAAATTTGTCAAAACAAAATTATTTACACGTGATTTCTCTCTCTCTCTCTCTCTCTCTCTCTCTCTCTCTTTCTCCTCCCAATC